AATAGCACCTTTAAAAAAAAAGAAGAAACCTTACTCCAAAAGCAAAGAATGTCCAATGTAAAGGTGACTYTAAACCACTACCTTGCGGACATTTCTGATAATTAGCAATGAATTTGCATTCTTTCTGGTCTTAGATGCCTAAGAGCTCATCAAATCAATATGTAGCACATTTGTATAGGTGGATCTGCCTTGAAACCAATTATACTGCTGACTAAGATATGAAAATAATGTAGCATTAAGCTAACAGAAAAAAAAAAATATACCAAAACTCAGTCTTACACATATGGACTTTTTTTGTTCTCACTACTCTGCTTGTGGCAATTCTTTCCGATTAAATACAACCTCAGTAAGTCAAGTGTGATATTAAATATAGTCAGGACTACTGCACATGTGAAGTTGGACACTGTAACAAGATGCACACCTAGCAAAGGAGTAGACAATGGCACAGCTAAGATCTATGATTTTAACCATGAAAAAAAAAAGTCCACTTGAAATAAAAAACTACCTCAAAAGGTTTGACAGAATATGGAGCCATTTGATTGTTAGAAAAACAGTCATGTAAGAAAATAGAGTTACTGATCAATCTACTCTGACATTCACCACAGGACTGATAGACCCTGCATTACTGTTACAGGTAATTTAGGGAACTTTAAGGATAACAAATATAAGGGGCCTATTACTACATTATTTATTTAGCAAGGGGTACACCCAGTATAAGAGAAAAAGGCGAGAGGGAGATCCATGAAGTAACTAATCGAAAGCCAGTCTAACTGCTGGCAACTGAAAGAGGCTACCCTGCCAATCTACCAGGTGCATGCTACCAAAAAAAAATGGGAAATGGGTGAACATAGCTTCATATCTAACAACTCAATCAATGCTCCCTCATAATACCTAGTGATTTTCTATTCTCAATTTTTCACATTTTGATTATGTCATAAAATAGTAATGATGATAACACATACTTAGCAAAAGTATGAGATCTTGAAAATAGGTACCCATGTAACGCAAACAGCGCTACTCACAAATGCTCTCTCAGCTACTGCTGAGCTGGATGATTTTTTGAAAAGAGCCGTTGAAGCTCAAGCTTCACACTGATACTGAAAAACAGAAAACAAAAACTAGATATATGTAGGACATGTAGGAGTGAGGGTGACAGAGCCCYGGCACAGGCTGCCCAGGGAGGTTGTGGAGTCTCCTTCTCTGGAGGTCTCCAAACCCACCTGGATGCYGCTCTGTGCCMCRTGCTSTAGGTGTGCCTGCTTGAGCGGGAAGGTTGGACTAGATGATCTCTAGAGGTCCCTTCCAGTCTTAACCATTCTGTGATTCTGTGAGTGAAAGATATGTAAGCAAGTCATAGCATCACTTTCAGACACTAGTAGTAAGGAACGCATTATTCTCTGTCCTTATGATCATGTCCCACTGAAATATTTAGCTATTAAAAGATTCCAAGAGTTTTGAAATTTCCTCTGAGAGTATCAGGGTTTGCACACATTTCTCTTCCATCTGAGCAAATGAAAAAAAAAGAACAAAAAACGACTCCAGTCTAGAATCCATAAATCATAACTTGTGAAATGTTCAGAGGTAAATCTACAAAATGCATTACAATCTTGAAATATCCGAAAATATTGTATTTCCTCCAGAATATGAAAATTCAGAGCACAGAGGAGCACAGATCACAGTTGGATCCACAATGAACATCATGCAGGAAATTACAGAKATTTAAGCTTCTGGCTGCCAACCAAGTCAATGGGGCAAAATTTGACCTGGATCAATTAATTTATATAGAATTCTCATCTGGGAAAGTAGAGACTTAAATCCAAGTAAAGATTTAAACTACTAGAGCCATGTACTTCTTAGGAAAAAAAGACTTCAATCTCAGTCACTCAGAACTAGAAGCGAGAACTAGAAGAAGCTGATTTCAGCAGAAAGCAATTTCACAGATAAAGCAATATGAAGTTTATYCTCTACAGGTTTCTAAATGTGATTTACCTTTTCTAACTTTTTTTAAAGTAAAAATATATCATATTCTATTGAGCTTTTTATCTAAAATGCCATTTGAGAAGTTCAAGTCCTTTACAGGCAGGACAMCCAGTGAAAAAATCAGTCATGAGGTAACTTCGAACAGTATGAGGATCCTGCCAGAGTACCTATGGCAGGCCATCATTAGTACATAAAAAAATGTCGCTTATAARTATTAATAATATTTAGGTATTTGTCACTAAATAAATTTTTCATACCTTGAGTGGGATATGAATAAGAGATAATTTCACAATAAGGTCCCAGACAAAATGATATGATCAATAAATCCTCCAGAACACAAATATTTCCTCCATGCTGTTTTATGAAGTGGAAGTGGAAGACATTTGTGGCTGGAGAAATCATTAAGAAAAAAAATACAAAAATCCACAGAAACAACACAAAACAAAGAAGTAGAGCACTAGAAAGTAGATTAATCAGTTGAACATACTATCTAATGAATTAAAAATTATGAATTTTCTTTTTCAGTTTCAACCTCTTCCTCTCTACATCCACCCTCCTGCACACACAACAGCCAAGTGCATCCAGACTCCTGCAGTTGAACAAAGAGGGAAGGCACAGTGAGCTAAGGAAATAAAAAAAGGGAATCTTTCAAGGTTGTCTGACAAAATTAAGGAGCAATCTGTTAAAAAAAAAAAAAAAAGACAACTATAACACAATTGCAAATTTAAATCTCTCCTTCCTCTGCAATGAAGTTTCTCAATTCAATTAAAATACACCCAATTGCTACAGCAGACTCAGACAGTCAATCACCAAGCAAATGCTGCTGTATTACATGAAGAGCTAAGGTTYATTACCTGGTCTTTTCCTCCTCCGATATCTAACTACTATTAAAGAACAAGTATGGTTTTCAGTGTTTATTAACCTTTTCAGAGACTAAAATAATTATCATAGTAAGCCAACATACTAAAAAAAAAAAACCACAAAAAGCACATTTTTCACCAAAGAAGAAATTCCATTGAACACCACATTTTTTTATATATACATATATATATGTATTATTGTATGTGTATATATATATATAAACCTACATACATATCTAGACATATATGGGTTTAACATCTTTTCAGCAGGACTTTTTTTTGTTATACAGCATGGGTAGAAACTGCCACTGAATTATGCCACAGGAGAGCTGTAAGGAAAGTTGAGAAGAGAAGAAGGAAAATAAATAAATATCGGGAGGTTGTAATGATTTGTTGTCATAGCTCCCAATACTTGACAGATCATCCGCTGATAAAAATTTGTCCTTTATCCTTTCCTGGGTCAAACTCCAAATTAGGTTTTTCTCCTGTACATTCAAGCCTATCTATGGACAAATGATGCAAAGATGCTATGGGTTTGCAGGGAATTACCCTTTGCTATTTTCAGAAACAGGAAAAAAAAAAAAAAAAGAAATGATTTTATAAAAGAAGCCTCAGGCACAGAAGACCTTATACTAAACTGAATCTTTAAATTCAGAGGTTGAGGGCAGTCACACAGAGCAGCCTCTGTGCCTCAGAGGTAACTCTTTCTGGAATAATTTCTTCAGAGACCTTCTTTCCCAATTAAACTACAGGAGCATGCTGCATGCTGTATAAAAACTACATACACATTAAAAAAAGAAAGACAGAAAGACAGAAAGACAGAAAGACAGAAAGACAGACACAGAGAGAGAGAGAGAGAGAGAGAGAGAGAGAGAGAGAGAGAGAGAGAGAGAGAGAGAGAGAAAGAGAGAAAGAGAGAAAGAGAGAAAGAGAGAAAGAAAGAAAGAAGGAAAAAGAAAGAAACAGCCCTAAATTCTTGTGCCCAGGCAGATACATGAGCAGAAATCTGTGTTTCTTTTTCTCATCATATCCATCTCATCTACAGCAGGGGAGCTGTAGCCTGAAGTCTCTGCTCAGTTGGATGTATCTTCAGGCACCCCTCTGCAGCATGCCAGTGAGGGTCCTGCTACATGAAGGACCACAGCACTGCTGCTCTTAACTCTCTATTTAAAAAGTATTCACCCAGAGCATCCAAGAAATGCTATTGCATAACCCCAGGAGTCAGCTTGTAAATCCCATCTCAYACAGGCAGGCTGAAGCATTAAATGACAACTGACAAAAAAGGCTGCTTGCTTCCCTTTTGGCAGCCCCTAGGTGTTCTAGACATGCAAAGGTTGAGGACTGCACTCTCAAAGCATTCCAATGCTGATATAAGCAATACATTTATGGAGATTTTTTACATCGTTGTTCTGAAGTGCCCTTCTCCTGCATGCAGATTATCCTCAAGGCACTGCTGCAGCATGCTGTTTTATTCCCAACTACCAAACAAGCAACTCTGTAGCTCTCTGTATGTAAGAGATCTCTCTAGTATGCAAGAAGAACAGACCTAGGAAATATAGTAACAGAAACATGGTGTCTGCCTTCCTTTACAGCTGCTTCTCCGTGGGTTGATGACAGGAATCTCAGGTCTGTCCCCACACTCACGGAGAAGACAAATTTTGCTGCAGACATAGTAAGACTGTAGTAACAGGCTACAACAGCAGTGAGAGGGAAAGGGTCTTTGCTTTGCAGGAGACTCTGAGACACGAGCTAGGTGTGAGCCAGCACTGCTCCATGTAGGTCAGCAGAAGCGACTGCAAGGARGTCCCTTTGGGAAAGGACAGGGCCACATGGAGAAGGCACGTCCAGGGCCAAAGGAGGGGCAAGGGAGAACCCAGGGACCTCCTGTGCAAAAAAAAAATAAGTGTCTCTCAAAGATAAATCACGGGGGCGCCTGGGGCGCTTCCCCCACGCGCGCTCTTCGCCCCCCACCCCGACTCCGCTTCCACGCGGACCCGGGAGCTGCGCGGGGCAGGGGGCGCATCCGCGGGCGCGCAGGGGGATCCCGCCCGCTCCCGCCTGCGCGCGCGGAGCCCCGGCAGCCCCGCGCAGCCCCGCGCGCCCCCGCGGAGCCCCGGCGGCCCCGCGCAGCCCCGCGCGCCCCCGCGGCGCGCTGCTCACCCCGCGGCGCGGATCCCCGTCCATGCGGGCGGGCGGGCAGCGCCCGGCGGCCGCGCATCGTGCTCCGCCCTCCGCGGAGAGCGCCGGGCGCCTCGCCCGCCGCCGTCGTCTCCTTCTGCTTCTTCTTTCGCTCCCCCACCTCCTTTTCCGCGGCCCCCGCCTTTTTCTTTTTTTTAGTGACGCCGGGAGGATAATTGGCGCCGCTCCTTCCCCATCACCCGCCTCCCTCCTCTGCCTCGCCGCCGGCCCCCGCTCTCAGGACCCACCTCCGCCTCCCCGGCTGCGGAGGGGAGCGGAGGGAGGGGAAAGGGGCCGGCTGGCAGAGGAGGGCAGCGGCGAGGACCCACTGCCCGGCCGCTCCGAGCCGCCCCCGAGCCCCGCGGTGCCGCCGGTGCCGCAGCCGCCCGCCCCGGGGCAGCGGTGCAGAAATTCCCCGCGCGGAAATTCCCTTCTGCCCTTGCACCTCCAGACCCAGCTGCTGGGACCGTTTAGCTCCGTGTTTTTTTAATCTCTTGTCACCATCGGCYGGACTCCCTCAACCCACCGAAGAAATAAAGGGAAATTAAAAAGAGAGAGGGAGTGTGTGTATAGAAAAAGAATGGAGCCTGTGAGAAAAGAAAACACACAGCAGGCTGAGCTCTGAGTGACCCATAGTAGTGTCAGCACCTCTGCCCCCCTGAGACTCTTGGTTCCCTGACGCTTGCAGCCTTGAGCATGCAGCGCACCAAGGGCAGAGAGGGTGGCACCAGAATCCCAGCCCCTGGCAAAGCCAATCTGCCTCACATCACACACACAATGCGCCAGGCAGCACCATTGACCAAAATCCTGTGCAAATTTTTGTGGAGCTATATTACAAATGTAGGAGCACAAGTGTGCTAAGCTTCCACATTACCAGTCCATACTGTACCGATGCTGCTGCACTAGTCTGAATTAATGGCACCTGACATTCCCTTTTCCCTACAAACCATCAGTATAAGATCAGTGGAGACATTACTGCTTGTGCTTTCTTTGCATTGACCTCGGGTTTGCCTCCTAGCCACAGATGTGTTATGGTATGCAAGAAAGGCAGTACCACCCCAGCCGTTTATTCATGAGACAAATCCCTAATGTCGGACCAAAGAAAAGATCACAAAGTAGTTGCTCTGCTGAAAATGAGCACAGAGTCATGGTTTTCTGCTAGTGTATGAAGTCCTCCTGCCAATCTGAAAAAAAAAAAAAAATTAAAAAAAGATTGAATTCACAAGTTGAAGTACATCTAAAGCAACACATTTCTTTTATGTGGGGTGATGCAGTTTTATTCTTCAGTTGCCAAGGCAGCTAGCTACAGAAGCAGTTCTGGATAATTCGTTATCCCCTCACTTCACTATCAGGGAGTCTGGTAGTAAAAGACAGTGAGGTGGCTTGCTCAAAATCAGCACTAAATCAAAATCAAACCTGAACTGTTCATGTCTCACTCACCTGTGTCACTAGCCACAGAGACCAAGGGACACAAGCAGATGAGTGGTGTAAAGTGCTGTATCTACTCATGGCAGAGAAACATGAATTTTGTCTACTGCAATGCAGAGGCAAAACATCCTTTGTATCCAGAGCCATTTACCCATATAGGGGATCAGAAGCACAGGCAGAGTCCACTGATGGTGGCTCATTTGAGAGTGAGAATTATTTGTGCTTGCTTAAGCCATAAAACACCATGGGAAAGATTCATCTGATCATACCCAAAGATTGAAACTTACACAGCAGATCTGTCAGCATTAAGTTAGTTTAAAGAATGACTGCCCAAAAACTAGATATGAACATTTCTCATGTGCCTATTCATATTACTACAGTTTTCTCTTTTCTTTCACCCTTCTCCATAAGACAAATGATATCTATTGTCCTTAGTTGCATCTGGGAGGAACCATAGTCCTGGCATATTTCTGCTATTTTCTTGCTTTGTACCATGAATAAGCTGAGTTGTAGTGGCAGGAGGAAGGCGAGATTTGTTCCCCCCTCATTGCCCTTCCCCCATCATTTCATCTTGTCTTTTATGGATTTATGACCACCTTGTCATTTCAAGGAAGCTCATCGGGGCATGAGGTTTTGTCTCCTGGTGAGGGTACGTTGTGGTTTGAATGGAGCTACAGTAGTAACAACATGGGCTATTTTTAGCTTAAACTAGGCCAAGCAGATCCAGAAGACATATTAATAGGAGGAGCATTTGAGAACAAAATAAATAAACAACAGGGAAAATAATCTGAGAGAGGTAAGCACGGATAATTTCTATCTAAAAGCAGTTGCTAAATGATAAGGATGCAGAAAATTTCATCCTGCATCTCAGGAGACATAAAGCCTACCCCACAAAAAGCAAAGCAGCAAACAATAACTCTCAACAATATATGTGGCATTTGGGATAATCAAAACATCTTGTTTTAAGTTTCTTTTTTGTCTTGTTTTGTTTTTTGAGATGCCTAATTCTGCAGTTTTCAGTAACCATGCATTTCCCAGATAATTCATAAGCCTCAGTAATTTAAGTGGCAACTAAACATTTTCTTAGTGTTCAGTATATTTCTGTATTTGAGTTAGAATGTAAGATCTACCCAAAGTGCATTTAAATTCAGGGAGAACTGGTTGCCTAACTCTCTTGGGGAATACCTGCCCATTTTTGGTAGTGACATCATCCTGTTGGCAAGGCACTGCTCTCAAAGTACTCCAAAATAGCTCTCTTGAGGGGAGAAATGAGGTAAGGATATGTACTACAAAACAAAAGCTTTTTTACAGCTAGAAGCAATACATTTGGAGCTTAGATGAATGATAATTCAGCAAGGTCATGGATACCTGTCATCTCCTTCATCTAGTACCATATTTGAAAGAATCAGCTGTAGTAATTCAGCAGTCTATAAATCTTCATGGAAGAGTATAAAAGCATTCACCATAGTCAACTCAAGTGCTTCCCACATGGATTCATGTTGTTATATTTTGCTGGTTATAGCTCCAGACAGTAATTTGTTTGTTTTTCTCTCAGGAAGAAGTATCTCTTTCTGGCTCTTTTTAACTCCATTGAAAACAGTTGCAGGACACACAGTTAAAGGCATGTGTTTTTGTGAGTGTTTTGCTAGATCTAGCCCAAATATCTAGAAAAGCCTGTTTCTATAAATCTTTAAAGTCTTTAAAAACCTTTATAGCTCCAGGTACAAATAGAAGGGAGTTTCTCCTTCATGCAGGAAACCACAGCAAAGCTTCATGGTCACAGTACCTCTTTAGCCCTCTTAGCAGAACAACTCAAATCCTAACATGACAAATTCTTTCACCATTTGTTATGGTGGTATGATCATAATGACAACAAAATAAGTGTTCAGTATATTTAACCTTTATTTATGTACTGTTAATTTTATGGGATCATTTTCTGGAAAAAAAAAAAAAAAAAGGATCAACATTTTCTAGTTTGCTCTTCTTAATAATTAATGTCTTACTGATGTCCCCACTTGGCTTTTCTCCTTACCGGCATATATATATGTCTTAAGTTCCATATTTCAAACGAAGTCAAATGAGAATTTAATGAATAAGGGCTTAACCTAAGACTTCAATATTCTGATTGGCTGATAGATTCTCTCTAACAGGCTATTCAGTGTGCAAAGGATTAAACTTTCTGCAGGCCTTTTTACCCTTTTTGGGCTTTTTGGTGTTTTTCTGTCCAGAACAGATGGATCTAATTCATGTACACACATCTGCAAATAGAGCAAAAAGACATCAACCAACATATAAATAGTCCTGAGTGTATCTGTAGCAACTATGGATAAGATATGGAGGTGCGAAGTTTGCAGAGACTATCACAAAAAAAAAAATGAAGGATTTATTTTAGGATTACTTGGCTGAGAGCCTTCTGTGTGAGAACTTTAGATTTTCTTAATCACCTGTGTTAAATGCTTGCTAAGCAACTGTGGCAGGCTACCAATTCCATGCCCTTTAAATGAATATAAAGTATTTATATTCACTACATTACACTTGCACCTAAGGAGGTGTCTACAGATGGCATGTCAGGTAGCAGCCAGAAATTTTTTTGATCAGATACAGTCCAGGAGAGTCAGGGTTGGCTGTTATAGAGTCACTAGTAAATTCAAACTTTGAAGCTTGGAAGGTCAAGCTACTTCTCACTGTTTTATTTCATCTTGTTATGTTGTTATGTTGAAATGATATTACACATCACTCCTCAATAGCCAGAGACTTAACCATATCACTTGCTATGGGCAGATGTTTTTTAGGTGAAAATTTACTACATTTATCTGTAAGTATGTAAGCCTGCACAATTTTAGTAGCAGGACAGACTGCTGTACTGCTGTTAGAATCTGGATTTATGCAGCTTCTATAAATCAAAGATTGAAAATTCAGTTATTTCACTGTAAGATCTGAGAGGACTTAAGTAGGCAATCATCAACTCCAAGGACACCCTGAAGGGGCAGAAGAGGCACAGTATGTCAGCCCCAATGTGAAGCTATATAGCAGGCACTGGCCCATGGCAGCGGTACCATTAGTTCTTCTTCACAGAAGCCACTCTGAGGAATTACCCTTCTCAGCTATGGATCCCAAAGACACATTACTCAACTAGTGGGGCAAGCTTCACTCTAGTTGTTAATAGTGGACCAGATCATGAGAGTCCTGAAATAGCTTAGGACCAATTTGTGCTCGATGTTGTCCAACCTGCAAGCTGCCTGCTATGGTGGTCTGCTGCAGCATGCTGCACAGACAGAAGTCTTTGTCAGGAAGAGAAAGAAACAGGCAGATGTCAAGGATTTCCAACACTATCTGTAGACTACAGACAGTCTAACTATTCACAGGAAAATGTACTATCTGTTTAGCTGACATCAGATAGTAGTTTTCTACTCAGTATAAAGAAAGACAATATAAACAACCGTATATCCAAATCTTCCATAGGATGGATTCTTCCCATTACAGTGAAGAGTGATGCAAGTTTCTTTTTTATGAACGAGTTTGTTATTCTAGAATGAAATAATTCAAGCATAATACCTATATATTTCTAAAGTCCACACT